ATGATCCATCATACTTGGTTTTCTTTTCAAACGAAGTTTTGAAAGCAATGCCTTTCTTTTTCTTGCCATTGTCATCATCGTTGGTCTTCATCAAATTTCATGAGTCATTAATGACCCTAGTAGCTCATTTAAATTGAGTATGTTGAGATCCTTGGCTTTCTGGATTGCTGTCACTTTCGGTTCCCAATTCTTTGGTAAGCACTTGAGAATTTTCTTTACCATTTTACTGTTAGTATAAACTTTACCAAGATTTTTCAAAGAATTTGTTATATTAGTAAATCTAGTAAACATTTCAAAAATATATTCATCAAATTTCACTTTGAACAATTCATAAGTATGAATAAGCATGCTAGTATGTGATTCCTTAACTTGATTTGTGCTTTCATGCGTGACTTCTAATTTATCTCAAATTTCTTTAGTAGTCTCACATGTAGAAATTCTATTAAATTTATTAGAATCAAGAACACAATATAATATATGTTTTGCTTTAGCATTTGCTTGAATTTTTCTAAGGTCATTCCCATCCCATTCCTCTTCTATTTTAGGGACTTTTTTTGTGTCTACGATTTTGGAGGGAATAATTGGACCATTTTTAATAATATTCCATGCCTTGTAGTCTTTTTCTTGAATATATAGTCTGTTTCTTGAATATATATCAACTTTCTATTTTTTCAATAATTATAATTGCTACCAGTGAAATACGGAGGGTTGGAAGTGAATGGCCATCAATAATTTGTGTTCCTATAATAGTTGTCGTAGATCAACTTTAAGATTGTTAGGTCAAAAAATAAATAAGAGCCATTGCTCTGATACAAATTGTTATCTCAAGTAGGTAACCCAAGAGGGGGGTTGAATTAAGTTATTAAAAATAATTTCACAATATTAACAATAATAATCAAAATATTCGAATTTCAACATATAAAATAATAGAGCAATAATAATCAATATAAAAGTAAAAGAGATAGGAAAAGAAAATCAAACACCGTGATTTATAGTAGTTCGGCACGTCGGGCCTACGTCCACTCCCCAAGTATCCTCCTCAAAAATTTCTTCACCATTCTTCAAATACAGGTGCTAGTGAATCTTTACAACAAGCAACCAATTTCAATCACTCTGACTAGTTTAGAATCTGGTGCCTAGTCACACCTAACCAAGTAATTTTATTTCAAAAATCACTCACAAAAGTATCTCACCTAGTTTTGAATTTGGTGCCTAGTCACACCTAACCCAAGTGATTTTATCCCAAAAAAATCACTCACAAAAACTCTCTTTTTACAATAATAATATGAATAAGGGATAGAAAACCTTTTTATAATTTTGCTCAAACTCTCAACAAATTTTCTCATAGAAAATATAACTCAATGAAGCACAATACAATATTTGAGAATATTTAAATATAACAGATTTTTCTCTTCTTCACTTCTTATTTTTTTTCCAACCAAAACATTTCTATATATACCCAAAAATATATCCGTTCGGGAGGCAGACGGTCCTCTTCTGACTTTTTGACACTTGAATCACGTACGTAGCGTGAAGCACAAACACAATTATTTTTGTCAGAAATAGTAGGCGGAGATTTGAATTAATAGGCCAAAGGTCGCTTTCGATTAATAGTATTCTGCTGATTTTTCTTCCAAACTTAACAAATTTCAAATGTTACACAGTAACTGTATAGTAACTTTTCTATTAAAATATTTGATTATACAGTAATTTCTCTATTAAAATATTTGTATGCATAGTTTGACCTTTAAATAACATTTATAACAAATACATCATACCACATATATTTTAATAGATAATATTTTGTATAAAAAATTATAGAATTTGTATATTAAAAAATCGCAATCTATCCCATAATATTTTAGATATCATCAAAATGAAATCATATAATTAACAATATCTAGATTAGATCAATTTAATCTAGATATATTTAAAAAGTATAAAATTTGTACAAAATTTTTTTAAAAAATTCATTGAATACAACAAAATAAGATAATTTATTGAAATTTTATATTTTTTAATATTTTTTTATTTGGTGAATTTTAAAAAAATCAAAAAATATTATACTTCTTAAGTATATCTAGATTAAGAGTATCTAAAAAATAATTAAAAAATTACTTAAATTATTAAAAAAAATTAAGTAAAAAAAAACGTGAAAAATAAAAATTAATTTTTTGTGTGAGTTAAACTAAAGAAAATGATTGTTATTTCTCTTGAAATAATTATGAACAAAATATTTGTATTATTTTATTATTTTATATATTTAAAGGCTAAAAGACAAATATGTTATTTTAATCTGATAGGGGGGGCAAGTATAATTTTTCAAATGTGAGGTGGGTCAATATTAAATAGAAATCTCAAGGGGTGTTTTCCATGGAAACAATCCCGGAGACATGCGAGAGTTATTGCTATTAGAGCTGTGTAAAATATCATTCAATCTATTAAAATTGCATTGATTCACACTGTTCTATTTGTTAACAGCGAATTGAACCTTAAAATTTATAATCAAATTTTGAAATCGCTTTACTCCGCTATAGGTAATACATATATATTTTTTAAACTCTAATGAAATATGAAAGTAAAAATGAGTGTGAGGGAGATTTAAAATACGAAATAGTTATATATATATATATATGAAAAATATTATGTAAAACTAATTTGTATTATATAAATAAAAAATATTATATAAATTAGTGTTATATATTATGTAAATATTTAATAATTAGGTAAAAATATTTTTCAAAGCGCCAATTTGTCTCAAATCATCCAAACTATAATTTAATTATTTATCAATTTGTCAATTTACCATTTAATTTATAATTTTATTCTGAAATGGTTCAAATCCAACCCCGCACATTAAAATTGTTCCACCATCTTTGAGTTCCGAGGAGAGAGAGAAAGAAAGAGGGAGAGAAACAGAAGAGAAGGATGGAGTGTTGACTTGGTTGACTATTACATAACTCGGGAATTTAACAAAATTTGAAATCATAGGCTGAGATTTATTCATGAGACGGTCCACGACAAAGAATTTTTTTTTTCATAATATTCTAAAAAATTAAATTATTTAAAGAAATAACATACTATTTAAACTATTTAACAAATTAACCTATATTTTGAAATTATTTTTTTCAAAATGCAATTTTATGACAAAATCGCATCTTCAAAACACACTTTCATGATGACAAGCCCACATGAAATTGCCAACGTGACTATATTGAAATCTCATTTTGAAATGCAAGTTTATCTTAAAGTTATTTTTTTAAAACATAATTTCAACACTACCATGAAATTGCATTTTTAAAACACAATTTTAATATTAATGCAAAAATGATGTTTCAATAATCATTTTGAGTCGTGATTTCAATATAAGATTGGGTATGTCATTTTGAAAATGAAAAGAATTATATTGGGTATCACATTTTGAAAAGATTTTAGTTAAATCGGTTTTCAAGAAATCTTAGGGGGTGTTTGGCCTGCGCTAAAATAACACATGTTATTTTAACACATGTTATTTTAACACATTATTCTATTTGGGTCATAATCATCTTATTTAAGTCACATTACCTCTCTAGTATATTACTTCAAAATCAACTCATATTTAACGTTTTTTCTTAAAAAGTCAAAAAGTATATTTATTTAGATCATCTCAAGTATCTCCTTAATTTAGAAAATACGATTTTACCGAATCACAATTTGAAAAAGCAAAATAATGAAATTGCAATTTCAAAATGTAATTCTATGTTGAAAAATTGTTAATATAGTAAACTTGTATTCGTACATAATCCAAATTCAAACGATTTCATTACATAAAAATAAAAAATATAAAAATTTGTTATCTTAACTATTTAATGAAATCACATTTATGTATTGAATAAAATTTTGCTATCTTAAATGTTTTTCAACCTTGAATCGCATACCAGCTTTGTATACTAACTCTGTTTGATGTTGTTTTGAGAATTTGATTACTACAATAAAAAAAAAAAAAAAAAAAAAAAAAAAAAAAAATTAAAAAACCTTGAAACTAATTTAGTAAAAAAATGAAAAGTAAAAACACTCATTACTTTGACATGATTTTATCTTTTTTAAGAGCACAAATAATTTTTAAAAATTTAAAAATTATTTTTTTACTTTTATTTTTGTCAAATTAGTTTTTATTTCTTAAAAAAAATAATAATAAAAACATATTCTAAAATTAAACCAATCATTTTTATTTGTATTTTGTAATTATGATTCCAAAAAATCGTGTTTCCTACATTTTAATTTCTTGAAAATTCACTTAAAATGTGAATTAACTGAAATCTCCTTTTTAAAATGCAATATCAACCGTATATTGAAATCACATCTTCAAAATAGAATTTCATATTGAATTATCATTTTCAAAATAGGCGTGTTATGTTGAAATCGCATTTTAAAGATACAATTTCATGGCAAGGTTGAAATTGTGTTTTGAAAATGCAACTTCAAAGTAGACTTAGGCCTCGTTTGGCAAGAGACTATTTTAGTCAATTAGTTAAAAAGTTACTAAATTAGCCAAAAAGCCAACAACCCATATCAAAAAGTCAAAGATTCTCTTTTCTCTCTACTTTTTGCACATCTTTTCGTAATTAGCCAAAAAGTCATCCCAAACATACAAGTTTTTTTTACCTACCTTTTTAGCCAAATAGCCAAAAAATTACTAAATTAGCATGTTCCCAAACGAGGCCTTATACTTTTAAAATGTGATTTCAACATGTCCACATCAGCACCCTTAAGTGGCCATATCACCATAAAAGTGTATTATATGCATCTTTAATTATGTCCTTTTTTTTTAAATTATAACCAATTTTTTTCTTTAATTATGACATTATTTTAGTTTTGACTCATAAGATTTTTAGTTACGTTTCATGTTGTGTTTAATTATACTTATATTTTTAGTTACAACTCAAAAAGTATAAAATCATACTTTTTTAAATAAAAATAAATAAATTATAAGATGCATAGTATTTTCCTAAATTTAATGAATGATATCTGTAAAAAGTGACACAGGTAAGTGTGAGATATGAGAGAAGGGAGTGTAGTCATTTACTGAGAAAATATTTCATCATTATGTATTCATTTTCTTCTGTACATTTTTGTTGCAATTAAAATAATTTTTCATTAATTTTTAATTGTTTTCCTTAACATACTACTGAATTATATTTTTTCTACATTGTTATGTTTCAGAACCACCGTTCATTTTAAAATAATCTAAATGACAAACTAATTTTTTTGATCGAAAGGAAGTTTAATTAAAACACAGAGTCATTAAATGAAATGCATCCACACGCTTGTTTGTCTCATGGAAGATGTGTTAAGACTGTGCTTGCTATTCTTTGAGTCAGAAATTTGATGTCTTCAACTAAGGCTCTGTATGGACAGTTTGGATGAGTCCCATCATGGATTAATTGCTCCGCGTCCAGGCAGTCGGTTTCTACCACAACCCCTTGCCACCCTTTTGTTGGAAAAATGGTTTTATATAGGTATATTATTTAGCTCAATTTGGGTGGATCCCAAACGTCTTTTGGGGTGGGTCTGAAGATGTGAAGTGTTCCTTGCCGCGTGGCAAGTCACACGGTGAAGACGGAACGTCAAAACCATTTATGAGTGAATGGGAAGTTGACGTCGTTTTCGAGTCTAACATTAATTTTTATTTGATAAAATTCATTTGGATTTTTTCAATAAAAATTATTGTGGGAATTTAATTTAATTCTAATTCAAATTTTGGGTTCCTAAGTGGTTTCCTAAAATTTGTAATTGTGAGAATTTAATTTAATTCTAAATTTAAATTTTATGTTCCGTGATAGTTTCCTAAAATTAATACCTTTTCTTTTATTTTATTAAACTTGTTTAATATATATATATATATATTAAATGGTTTAAATGAAAATAAAATAAAGGTGAAACAGTTTAACTGTTCCAACGGGTCTCTTTTCAATTAATTTGAAAAGTTGTTCTTACTACGGTCAAAACAAGTTTTGAAATTTGAATAGTAGTAGGTGCACCTTTTCACAAATTGTTTTGGACCTGTTCGGGGCAATGTTGTTGCCTATATATACTAACCATAAATCCAATAATTAATCCTCCGGAAAAAATCAGTCTGGTTTTGGTCTTTGGTTGTTCTAAATTCTGCATTTTTTTTTATTCTTCATATTAGTTTTAGTATAAATTTCAGAGAGTTAGAACACAGGTTTGGTTCGCTGAACAAATTGTTTGAAATACTACTACAATTTGTGAAGATCATTGTATCCTGGGAGATAGACGCCACTCAACCGTAAGTACCGTAGCGGGGCGAATCTGTCTTAAGGACAGAGTGTCACACACTCGACTTGGTCTTAATTTTATTTGGGTTCGATAGATAAATCTGGTATGTTATTTATTTATTTTGTTTGAATTTATTTTCAAGTTATTTTATTTTACACAGAAGATTGTTCCAACACCTTTCCCATCAATGATGGTTGTGCCACGGTAAATGGTCCAAAACCCTGCTTGAATACTGGTTGCAGCATCTAGTTTTCCTGAGTAGCCTAGGACCCATGAGCTCTTCTCATCTCTAAAGAGGCCGCCATAGATTTAAATAGTTTCAGACCTCTTTGATCAGTGTTAAGGGAGCATTGAAAAGCTTCATGAATTTCAAGTGTATATTGAAACACTTGCTTCAAACTGTCCTGAGTATTTAAAGAACAGTAATCAAAAATGGTTTTATTTCAAAAACGATTTGTGCAAGTACTTTTAGTCATGTAGATGGAATTGTAATTCCTCCTAAATCTTTTGTGGTGTTTCGTGGAAACAATCCTGAACATATGAGAGAAAACTGAACAGGCAGCTGAGTTGGGATTTCCAAGCATCCAAGAAGCAACCTCTAAAATTGGCCAATAGATAGAATGGTTAGCAGAGTACAATGTGTCCCAATATGTACACTATCCATTATGTATATATTTTTTTAATAAAAAAATTAATCCTTTAATTTAAAAGTGTTAAACGCTTTGATTTTTTGTTTTGGCATTGATAGGATGTTAGTGGGTTAATCATTTTTTAATGTAAGAGAACACTTGGACAAGTCATTTCTTCGGCGCTGCTAAAAGACCCCAACATGACTCTGCTTCTTCATCTTCTTCAGCACCACCTCGCTGGAGCTATGACGCGTTCTTGAGTTTCGGAGTTGAAGATACCAGCAAAAACTTCACCGATCATCTCTACACTGCTTTGGTTCAAGCTGGAATTCACACCTTCAGGGAGGACGATGAACTCCCAAGAGGACAAGTCAGTTCTTCGGAGTTGCTAAAATCAATCGAAGAATTGAGGATCTCCATTGTTGTTTTCTCCAGAAACCACGTTTCTTCGAGATGGTGCCTTGATGAGCTCGTGAAGATCATTGAATGCAAGAGAACACTTGGACAATTACTTCTCCCAATATTCTACGATGTTGATCCGTCGGACGTATGACATCAAACAGGGTGTTTTGGAGAAGCATTTGGAAGACACGAAAACCGTGATGTGGATGAGATGGAGAAGGTGGATGGGTGGAGAGCTGCCCCTCTCTGAAGCTGCTAATTCAGCATCCTTTTAATTTTGCTGCTTCTGCTGCTATCAATTTTCATTTTTATCTAGAAAATCCTACCTTATTGTTTTTACAATTTGAAGGGAAAAAAAAAATGACATTTGCCAATTTTTTTTTTATTAAATCAAACTTACGATTCATTTGTCAATAATATTAAAATTTTATTCTCAATTTTAAATGCATGCAAACCGCTATATTAACTACTAGTATAGTTAGTTCACTTTGTAACTTTAAGACGTTTTGCATTTTACATTTCTTAACTGCATATTGGGAGTCGGTTTATAAGGTTTTGTATTTCTGTAATATAAACCTATGTTACATGGAACGTGGATCGTTTTGGTACGTGGAATGGGAACGTAATATACCACATGCTTTAAAATATGATACGATAGGGTTATACTTGTATACATTATACTTAAAAATTTAAGGTACTTGTAGAATAATTTTTTTTTAAACTATTAAACATTCAATAAAATGCAATTTTTATTTATTTATTTTTTTCGTGTGACAGAATATTTCTATGAGCACTATTGTAACGCCCTCAAAATAAACCCATAAACCATACAATATTGACATGCTTAGACATAAGAAAATAAAGCATAATTATATTCCATCATAGTATTCATTACAAAATGTATTACATGTTGACAACAAAAGTAAATGCCCTATGGGCTTACAACTTTCCAAGTTAACACTTGGTTACAAAAAGGAGTACTAACTCGAAACACAAAGTAAGCCTTTGGCTTGATATACATGTAATACAAGAATGTAATCACAAAAGATGTCCCAGCCACTAAGCCTCTCAAGCTACGTCCTTGGAGGTGACATGCTACCTGTACCTGAAAATGATGTCCCATATAGGGTGAGCCAACGCCCAGTAAAGATATGCTAAATATAACATGAGCAATAACTAAAACATTGGCAGTTGATAAATGTTTAACTTACACGAATTAATTCATAATCCGTTTCAATTACATGACAAAAGAGATCATGTTTCATTCCATTTTCCATTTCTTATCCAATTCTCAATTCATAACTATGGCTCAGAACCTAGCCAAACAATTTGATTGAGATCACATCTCATATCAACAGTATTTCTATTTCAGATGAGATAATAACTCATATTAAACATTTCACACTTCATAACAGATACACATTTTGGTGTTGTGTCAATAACACATGACAACACTTCCATACTTCACAAATGATACACATTTTAGTGTTGTATCAATGTCAAACAAAAACACTTCCATACTTCACAAATGATACACATTTTAGTGTTGTATCAATGGAGTCCATTCCCTATCTCCTCCCAAACAATATCCGGTTTAGAGGTCCATCCTCTATCTTCCCCTAAACCGTGGAGTACATCCCCTATCTCCTCCCACACAACACAATGTATATAAACGCATATCATATACATAATCAAATCAATACATAAAATTCATGTATTATCTCAACCGCCATATTCGATAGCATACTCAATTAATTAGTTTTAGTTTGCCTAATCATCATGCCTTGTCTACAACAATCAAGACTACCCTCCACCGGTAGCCCAAAGCAATTAATTCTAAACAGATAATAATTTCATCCAACAGATAAATTATCAACAATTTCCAAGGTGAGTGATTAATAATTCCAATTTCACCATTCTATCTCATAATGAGTCAATTTCATATTCTACAACTCAATTTTATATTTCCATAACATCTCCAAATTTATTGTATAAATTAATTTATAACAAAAATTAGGGTTTTCTTCCCTCTTTCTCAACTTTGGCCCAAAGGCACAAATATCAACAACCAACAACAATACCATCATTTTAAGACCCAAATTACATATTTATGAGTCAAAATAATAAAACCCCTTTTTCATACCTTTGAAACCCTAACACTCAAAATTACCCAAATCAAACCATTTATACAAAGAGCTCAACATCTATGTTAAAGCACATAAGAATGAGTAGGAATCCCTACCTCAAGAGATGAAACTCAAAGGAGATGATAGAGAAATCTCGAAGTGCTCCAAACCAAGAAAATTTCGGATCAAAAGGAAGCCCAAACCAAGCTCTACACTTTTTGTAAAGACACTAAGGGAGTAGATCACTCAAGATAGATCAATCCCTAGAGAGAAGGTGAAATGTAGAGAGAGAGACTCTCAAAAATGGGTTTTTGGAAAAGTAAAAGAGAGAGTGAAAGTTGAAAAGTGATCTAAAAAGACCCAGCTGATATCTGATATAAGTATGACCTGCTCGAGCGGAGAATAGGACGCTCGAGCGTCAAGCACAAAAAACTGGACCCGCTCGAGTGTGAAGGGTACCCGCTTGAGCGCCAAGACACAACTGCAAAACACACCCGCTCGAGCGCAAAGGGAAAGCCGCTCGAGCGTAGATTTCCCTCTTCCAGTACTTTTACAGAAAATGAACTACCCACTCGAGCGCAAAGATACCCGCTCGAGCGTGAGAAAATCCACTCGAGCGTGAAAAACACACCTGCAGAAGTTTTACAGAGGCACGAAATGCTGAGAGTGTGTAAACCCCGCTCGAGCGCAAGAAGACCCGCTCGAGCGGACAACCAAAAATCAAAATCCGCTCGAGCGCAAAGGGACCCGCTCGAGCGTACCACCAAAATTCTGGGCAACAAGGAATAGGACTGAAGCTCAACCAACCTGTTCGAAACACGCCCAATACATCCTAAAACTCAAACACACGGAATTAAAGGATAACAACAAGATATACAACCACCAACTCCACGGAACCTAAGTCCGGAATACAACAATCAAAGAAAGAGAAACCGGGATCGCTATAACCTCCCCCCCTTAAAGAATTTCGTCTCCGAAATTAAGTACACGTTTTTCAAAAACATGTTTTCTCAATACCAACATTACTACAATACAAAATTCAACAACTTGACCCATTACCGGTCATTGCATCTCTATTCAAGAGGCAAACTTCCATATAGTCTCCAACATGCATTATCAACATGTATCTCAAAATATATTCAATGCCAACAATACATTCGCAATTCTGAAACATCATCAACATATACAATGTTAAAATCAATTTCCATTATAAGGCAAGTTCCAAACTATATTTCCATAAACTCAAAACATACACCATGTTTTACAACTTAAGACACAATCAATGCTCTTAAAGTTTATCAATATTACAAAATTTTCAAAACATGATTACACATGAACAACTAAGTCCGAATATTTCTCACGGACCTCCAACTCACGTTCCCAAGTGGCTTCCTTCACTCCGTGATGTTTTCACAAAACCTTTACCAAGGGAATGGTCTTGCCTCGCAAGACTTGCTCTCGCCTATCCAAGACCCGAACCGGTCTCTCCTCATACGAGGCATCCTCATCTACCTCTAAGTCGGTCCAATCCAACACGTGCGATGGGTCCGGCTTGTACTTCCGAAGCATACTAACATGAAACACGTCATGTACTCCGGATAACTGCGGCGGCAAGGCCAAACGATAAGCAACCTCCCCAATCCTCTCAAGGATTTCAAAGGGACCGATAAACCGAGGGGATAACTTCTCACTCTTCCCAAACCTCATCAAACCCCGCCTAGGTGATATTTTCAGAAAAACATGATCACCCGTCTCAAATGCCAAAGGCCTCCTTCTACGGTTGGCATAACTCTTTTGGCGACTCTGGCCTGTAACAAGCCTCCTACGGATAAGCTCAACTTTCTCCGTCGTTTCCCTCACCAACTCTGGGCCCAACAAAGGTGCATAACCCACATCGGCCTAACAAACCAGAGACCTACACGGTCGGCCATACAAGGCCTCAAACGGTGCCATATCGATACTAGACTGAAAACTGTTGTTGTAGGCAAACTCCACCAATGGCAAGTGCCTTTCCCACGTCCCACTAAAGTCAAGGACACAACCTCGAAGCATATCCTCAAGGATCTGAATAGTACGCTCGGACTGCCTGTCAATCTGAGGATGATAAGCCGTGCTAAAGGTCAATCTAGTACCCAAAGCACTCTGCAAACTCTGCCACAACCTAGCAGTAAAACGAGGATCTCTATCAGAGACGATCGACACCGGGACCTCGTGCAACCTCACTATGTCCCGAATGTACAAGTCGGCCAGATGATCTACCGAGTCTCTCGCGCGCATAGGAATAAAGTGCGCTGACTTAGTCAACCGATCTACAACCACCCAAATAGCATCATTACCCCGCTGAGTCCTCGAAAGACCTACAACGAAGTCCATAGTGACATGCTCCCACTTCCACTTGGCAATAGGCAAGGGTTGTAACAAACCCGCTGGCCTCTGATGTTCGGCCTTCACTTGTTGACAAGTAAGGCACTTTGATACGAAAACTGCCACATCTATCTTCATACCCCGCCACCAAAACTGGTGACCCAAATCACGATGCATCTTGGTGCCTCCCGAATGCACCGCAAGGCATGAATGGTGAAACTCTTGGAGTACCTCCTCTCGGCAAGACTCCGGTACAAACAAGCGGTCTCGGTATCTCACACTCTGGTCGAGATACACCGCCAAACCCTTCTCAACCTTCCCACTGGAGATCTTCTCTCGGAGGGATTCTACCTCAAGGTCACCTCTCTGTGCCTCTAACACTCGATTCACAAGTGTAGGTTATGCAACAACAAAAAACAAGACCGCAGCCTCAATGGATTCGCCCAGAAGCAAATTAAACTCGCCAAGTGCACCCAACATCTCCCACTCCCGGATGGCTATACAAGCAACATCACTAATGGATTTCCTACTAAGGGCATCGGCCACAACATTGGCCTTTCCCGGGTGATAGTGCAACTCAAAGTCGTAGTCCTCAATGAACTCCATCCACCTTCTCTGCCTTAGATTCAAGTCTCTCTGTGTAAACAGATACTTCAAACTC